CTGCTTACTTAAAAGTGAGCAAAGATTCTTACCTCCCTGCCCCACATTGCCATTAGCCAAACATCTCTTGGTGGTGGTATTGCATGCAACAGGCTCTGCAAAGAAGATTGAAAATTATAGGTGAATTCCTATAGGCAGATGTGGTCATGCAGATATCTTGACCCCAAATATTTTAGAGCTTTGTATTTAAAAACCAGAACCTTTAATTGTACCCACAAACAACTTGGAAGCTGGTGCACTTGATATAGAAACATAGAAACAGAGCGAGTCAGAAGGGGCCTCCTGGGCCATCAAGTCTGACCCCCGGCTCCAGCCGACTCCACTCATGACATGCCCACCATGTGGACATCCAGCCTGTCCTTGAACATCCTCACCGATGGGGCCTCAACGACCTCTCGTGGAAGCCCATTCCACACCCTTGGGGTCCTGACTGTCAGGAAGTGCTTCCTGGCATCCAAATGGAACCTTGGCTCCCTGAGCTTGGCTCCATTGGAGCACGTCCTGCCTTCCTCTGATATAAGACCATCATGGTCCATAAAATACCCACCAAAATGCAATCTGTCTGCATTACTTTGCACAAGCTGCAGAGCCTAAAACCCTTTTGAGAGCAGCCCCATGTAGAGCATGTTGTAGTAATCAAAATGGGAACTTCATAAAGCATGGTGCACTAGAGGCAGATCCATCTTTTCTGGGAAGAGGTATGACAGGTGCACCACCAGACAAGAGAAAACTGGGCAAAAGGCAGTCAAGGCCACAATAGTTGACAGTAACAGCATTTGGAACCAGAAACATTTCTCAGTCCAAGCTGTGAACTACAATGAATCTGAAAGCCTCTTTAAGCGGACAACTAGAGATTTGGTGAAAGAGGTTGTACAGGTTTTTTTAATGCCACAAAACATGAGTGGGACAAAAAGATATGAATATATACATTCTGAGAACAATGAAGATTTGCCTTTAGTTTTAAGAGAAAGGAAGGGAGCAAGGGAAAGAAAGAACCTATTATTTGCCTCTTCTCTCCTTTCCAAAATCTGGCCTTTCTTCTCATCACTTTCCTTCCTATTTGAGCAGAGGAGAGGGGGCCAACATTCTGGTATTGTTCTCCTCCTCACAAGCTCTTACCATCACCCTACCTCTTGTTATTCGACTGCTGATGAAACCAGCAGGTGTCTGTCCCTATTAGAAATCTTATTTGCACAAGAGGAAAGTGCAAATTACCGTCTCTCTCCTCCACACTCAGCTTCCAGGGGGTTGGAGAACAGAGGGTGAGGAGGAGACAGGTTAAAGAATTTTGGCATGCTGGGAAGCTTCCAAAATTAATGAGGAGTGACCAGATGGGAGGGTAAGAAACAGCAGGCCATAGGAAGGACAAAAATTCACGAATGCCTAGCATCTCAGATCCATTGTGTGTGACCTTTCCCAGTTCTCTTAGGTAAAAACAGCAACAACAGTGCTTTCAATCTGCAGTTAAGGCTAGGGAAGACCCCTGTCTGAAACCCAGGAGAGCTGACTGCCAGTAGGCATGGACATTCGTGGCATAGATGAAGCATTAACATGACTTGATATAAGGCACTTTCTCATTTCTTCTGGAAGGAGCTATGGTTCAGTGACAGAGCAAATGCTCCACATGTTGGAGGTCCCAGCTTCACTCCTGGGGTCTCCTGATAGGAATGAAATTCTATTAATTTATTTATTTAAAGTTTTTATATGCCGTCCCCTTGCTATATAGCCTCGGGATGGCTCACAGAAATAAATAAGTATAATACTATACTATACAATTAAAACCCGGAAACACCCTGGCTGCACAATTAAAACCTATAAATATTAAACATTATTAAAATATTGTTTGAATAAAAAGGTCTTAGCCTGATGCCAAAAACAAATAACGACAGCACCAGGAGGACCTCTCTGGGGAGTGCATTCCACAGATGGGGCGCCACCGCAGAGAAGGCCCTCCTCCAGGTGCTTTGCTTCCTGACGTCTCCCACGGAGGGCTCCCAGAGGAGAGCCTCTGCTGCCGATCTCAAGGGCCAGAAGGGCAAATAAGGACTCAGGCATTCCTTTAGGTATCCAGCTCCCAAGCTGTTAAGGGAGATTTCCCAAGCCGAAATATTGGAGAGCAACTGCTGGCCTGTGCCAGCGATATTGGAACACAACGAATCAAGGGTTGAAGAACCATAAGAACATCAGAAGAACCCTTCTGGATCAGATCCAGTTTGGTCCAGCAGTCAGTGTGCATTGTGTCCAAACAACTGGCCAGAGGACCCCACCAGCAGGATATGAGTGCAACAGCACCCTTCTGTCCCAGCTCCCCAGAAATGGGATTGAATACGGCATCCAAGCTAAGGTGGCAGCAGCTGCTGGCCTTTTGTGCCAGGGATCTGTCCAGTCCCCTTTCGAAGCAGTGTACATTGGTGGCCATCGCTACTTCTCATGGAAGTGAATTTCAGTTTAATTATGTGCTCTCTCGAGCCACTTCCAAACTTGGGGGACAGAATCCACACTGTTAATCTATTTTTCCCTAAAATCTCCACTGGTGAAGAATAGCTGTGGCACAAAATATCCCCCCACCCCAAATCCTGAATGCAGTAGCTCTTTGCCTAAGGGAAGAAGGTGGCTGGAGAAGGGCAGGGATTAGATTGCAGCCTATCTTGCAAGTTGCCTGAGTGGGAAGGTGTAAACTGGTGACCTGCAACCAGTGGCCTTCTTGCCCCGTTCCAGCTCTATTATTCTATGCTTCTATTATTCTGTGCTCCCATGTGTAGGGCATGGCATGACACAACAGGCCATTGGATCCCTTGGTCAGGTTTCTTGCCTTTGGAAGGCTTAGCACAACACTTCCGCCAAACTCCTAGCGTTTCTTTTCAGCAGATACTGATGCACTCCATCTTAGTCGCCTGCTAGTTTCACCATGAGTCCGTTCGTTTTAATGTACAGGCAGCGTACAAAGCCCCAAATATGCAGAGCTGCCCTTTGCTGAAGGATGAGAAGGCAAGAAGTGACAGGATGGAAGGACTTCACACACAATCACAACCAATTCCCAACCCACCCAAGACAGGCAGAGCTGTTAATGAAAGTCATTCCAGCAAAGGATGACATACTGTGCACCAAGCCTCGTGCTTGGGAGTTTGAACAAATTACAGAGGCTGTAGAAGGCCAAGAAGTTAAGTCTGACTATTAAACAAAGGGGTTGGGGAGGGTCTTAGGTATGCCTACCATTTTTACAAAGCTGACACTTCTCCCACATCGTCTTTAGCAGTTGTGATGTGCAACAATTGAGCCCGTGGAAAAGCTGTCTGCTCCAACAACCACTGCTCAGGCCCTCAGCAGGGGGAAAGCAGCAGTCAGGGACTCCCTGTCATGTTGAGACTGAACTCTCGATCCCACTGTCAGCTGCCATGCTGCATGGCTTCTGAGAATGCTGCTGCTGCTGCTGCAGCAGCAGCTCTCCCACAGTGTCAAGATCCATCTTGATAAGCTGCAGAACTTCTTCATCGAAGGGTCTAGTGTTGGAATCTGCTTCTCTCACTGCCTCTTCCCTCCCTTTCTATTAGTGGCACATCTTTTAGGCTGTGAGCCTCGGGACAAGGACTATCTTACTTCCAATCTCTGTAGCTACCTGAGAAGCTTTTTCATTGAAAGATGAGATACAAAGGTTACATATAAACAAACCGACAAATATTCTTTGTATCCAACAGCTCAAAGTTACCTAGAGAGTCTCACAGCAGACTGAAGACTAGAACCCAGGTGTCCAGAGCGCCAGTCTGAGCCTCTAATGGTGACACCACACTGGGTTAATGACTTACTGTGCTTTAAAAATGATTTTTTTTCAGTCTTCTCTTGGTTTTCCACCTCAGTGGCAGCACTCATGTGACAGAATACCTTTCCAGGGACCACCAAGTTTGCACCTACCTTCTGCTTTGTTTGGGGCATTTGCTAAGTAGATTTCTTTAGAGGCCATCGTGAACCATCAGGGATATTCCAGCCGGTTTTATTGATGCCTTTTTATTGATTATTATGCACCACTCTGTATACCTCTCAATGTGGAGTGATTTTTAAACTGAATCACCACCAACCAACCTCGGTTCTAGTATAGTGAGAGTGCGAGATAATCTTCCAATATATTTTCTCCACACCAATTTTGTACGAGTCCAACACCCGCCCGCACCACGCACGCCTCGGCTCTAGGGAACTTTTCTATAAACTAAGGAGACCCAATTGTTGCAACCGTTCCTTGTTGCTCCAACCCCGATGTTTTTGCTTTCCGTTTTATTGCCCCGTGTCCACCTGTACAATAACAGTAGCTCTAAAAGTAAAGACAATTAAATTAGTGTTCATAAAATTGTTCTTATTATAAAGTATAATGTCATTGCGTCAAGCGCTCCTGAGGCTGTCATTCTTACTTGGAAGTGAATCTCTCTAACTCAGTGGGATCTGTTTCTGAGTAGACATGCATAGCACGACACGTTTAAGTAGCTATTTTAATTAGGTTTTGCCTCGGAAGTCGCAGCCCCACTGCGCGTCTGAGCTACATGGATCAGGGGTCTGACCCCCTGGGCCACGTCTGGCCGATCAGTGGGAAGGAAGCCACGGGAGCCGCTTCTCCCCATACCCACGCGCACCAGCTGGACTCTCTCCTGAGTGTGCACATAGAGAAGCAGACTGCAAGGCTAATATCCTATCCACAGTTAAGGAGCAGTAAGCGTGGAGAACTTTACTCTCGAGTAAACTCATCAACACCTCTCATTTCAAAGCTTAGAATCGTAAACAAAAGCCTCGCTGCAACCCACTGCACTTCCTCTAATATGAATATGCACAAAGCAACCCCAGAGGCCACGCCTCTTTATGCAGATCTCCACCCTACACTTTTTTTTGCTGAGGTAGCCAATCAACGCCAAGGGGTGTGGTTGAAAGCTGGGATTTGCCCGGACATGTGGGGTTTAGGTGCGCTGCGTTGGTTTCCGGGAGTGACACGTGGAGACCCGGCTCGCTCGGGTAAGGGGCGATGAGGAGCGTGTAGGGAGGTCGGTGGGTTAGCAGTGCGAGAGAGGCTGGGAGGAGCTGCGCTCCTTTTGTGGGTGAATGGCGAAAGCAGTCACATATCGTGACCCCCTTACTTATATTTACCCCCCCCCCCCCCGATAGTTTTTAGAAGGGTAATTACAGAAGGGTACAGTTGCTCTAAAACTGGGAAGAATCGCCTTGGGGCTTGTCGGTTTTATGATTTCCCCTCCCCATTTCCGGGTGTGTAGTTCGAGTATGGAGAAGTAGGAAAGTTTGTGGCGGGCAGAGAGAGAGAAATAGGGAAGGGGATGCTGATGGCGGGAGAGGGGAAGCATCAGCTGTCCTGAAATGGACTCTCCTGTGCTTTGGAGTGATTGGGAAGAGGAGCTGACCATTTGGATAAGAGCCAGCTGTTTTCTGCGTTACGCAATGATTTTACTTCAATTCTTGACATGACGGCTTGGGTTTTTGAAGTGCTCTTTCTGGATTTCGCAGAGCTGGTTTTCACGGGGCCCACTATCACGCATTATTCCTCTAGAGAAGGCTCCAGGTGGAATCCCTGGCATCTCTAAATAGGGTGGAAAAACCAGGGATTTGATAAAACATTTTTTCCTGTAAGAAGAGGTAATCAGTTCCTGTGGGCCCCGGGCTGTGTATGCTCCCTTAAGCCTCTCCGTGTCCTTACACCCACCCACCCTTGGGTTTGCCATCGGCTGATGCACTCTATGCCAGCTTCTAGAGCAGGGATGAGACTGTTGTAGACCGTAGATGTTAGTGGACTATGGGGAGGATTATATAGTAGAACACACTCCTTCCAAATGCCTTTTGCTGGATACTGTTAACACCTGTTACTGTGCATGAATAATTCTTTCCTTTCCATCCTGCACCCTCTTAAACCTGACTTCCCCCCCTCAGTGTTGCTAATCGGACTGGATCTTCCTTTATCAGAATGCCCTCTAGCACCAACTCCATATCAGAAGGGATATGTCCAAGAAAAGTGGACCAGGTGAGTAGTTTAGAGATGGATGGCCAGATTCTCAAACACCCCTGCCCCAGGTGGGATCCGGACTACCTTCATGGGGATGGTGATACCTGCAGCCCAGATAAGAAGAAAAGCCGGAAACACCAGCGCTTCATGACACGCAGAGCACTAGAGCAGAAGAGATGCAGATCAAAAGGAAAGGTCAAGCCAGTCACATCAGATGCCTCCAGAATGGGTCCAATGCAGGAATTCTTGCCTTGGGAAGCCTGCCAGTATGACCAGCTACTCAAGGAAGATGCGGTGAAGGATCATAAGATTTGTGTGCCTTTTCCGGCTGCGTCTGTGCCTTCAGTGACCCAAGACAGGCAACCAACTTTGTCCCAAGATCTCATGCCTCAGGTTTCTTTGCCCAGCAGCTCTGCAGGGAACACCGGTTCCTTATTCTGTTTGATGCCAAAGAGAAGCAAGAAATGTGTGGCCATTGACTGTGAAATGGTGGGCACAGGCCCCGCTGGAAAAACAAGCGAGTTGGCACGATGCACAGTGGTGAACTACAATGGAGATGTGATTTATGACAAATACATTCGTCCAGAGCTGCCAATTGTAGATTATAGGACTCAGTGGAGTGGAATTACCTGGCGGCACATGGTAAATGCAACTCCGTTCAGGGTTGCACAAAGAGAGGTAAGCAAAAGTAACTCAACTCTGTATGTTCCAGCAGTCGGATAATGTGTAATAACTGGAGTTAACAACTTTTGGAATCCTTGCAGATCTTACAGATCTTGAGAGACAAAATAGTGGTGGGACATGCCATCCACAATGACTTCCGGGCCTTAAAATATTTCCACCCTGAACCCTGGACACGCGATACCAGCCAGAGCCGTCTGCTGAAGAAGAAAGTGGGGCTCTCTGTGAAAGCCAATGTGTCTCTTAAGAGCTTGGCTAGTCAGCTGCTATGTAAAAAGATACAGGTAATAAAGGAAACTCTTCTCCCTTCTTGGTTGCTTAGACCTGTTCAATAAGATTCAGAGAAGGACAGCATATACTGCCTTTGGAGGTGGTGTTCAATTGTTGTGGCTAAACCATGCAGTAGCCTTCACCAACTAAACAGCCTTCAACTGTTTAAGACTACAGCACCCAGCATTCGTGACCACTCGCCGTGCTGCTTGTGGCTAATAAAGCTGAAATTTGGAAGGGCTGCGCTTATAACCATGTAGCACAATCCTGTGAGAAGTGTTGAGCAGTGTGGTCTGGTAGTTAGAGCACTGGACTGGGGACCTGGGAGATTGGGGTTTCAACCCCATTTGCCATGAAGCTCACCGGGTTACTCCATCTTAGGCTAGCCTATCTTACAGAGTTGGTGCGAAGATAAAAACGGAGCTCTGTAAGCTGCTCTGGGTTCCTCACAAGAGGTAGATATAACTGCAATATAATCATAATGTGATTGTACATTTAAGAAAGTTTGCTTAGGGTTCTGCTGTAAAGATGGTGCATCAAGAACAACTGGGATAGCTGGTTCTTGGGTTGCCTTCCTAGTACTAGGTGGCACATCTGGAGGACCAGAACCTTTTAGTCAGTGGGTTTCCTCTCTGCACTTTCTTTCCCTTCTCTTAGGTTAGCAGAAGTGGGCATTCCTCAGTTGAAGATGCTCAGACGTCAATGGAGCTTTACAGATTGGTAGAACTGCAGTGGGAAGAGGCATTGGCTTGCAGCCTCTGCTCAAGTCCTCCGGACAGTGGCACGGATAGTGACTGCTACCTGGATGACCGGTATTGGCCCAAGGACCTCAATGTTGACTGCAAATGAAGATGCCCATTCGAGGGCTGTGGAGGAGTCATCAGCTAAACTGCACAGTCCACACACTGGTATAGGGACTTCCTTTTTTGAGCAAGTTCACAACCCCAAGAGATCACTACTGGTGGTTTCTTCAGTTGACTGACACTACAAGACATTGTTTAGCTGCCCTATCTCCCCCATTTCTGATCTTTAAAAGTAAGCAGATTGCACAAGCTGAAAATCCCATTCTAGCCTTAGAGGCGAGGTTAGCAACTTACAGCCCCGTAAGTTATACCCACCCACCAAATCTTTTGCCTTTGGAAACAGTGTCCAACCCTCCATTCTCTTGAAGGTGGATCGCCTATAAGTAAACTGCCCTGCAACACCAGCTTGGGTCTACACAGGCCAGTGGAAAATTCTTATTGGGGCAACCCTTGGTTCTTCTCCAGAGGGATAATCTCAGGTAGATTGTCTTAGTTATAAAGGTGCATGGGAAGTGAGTTCTGGTGCCTTCCTGCCTCCCAATTTATTGCTGCAGAAGTTTGAGATGAGCAGGGGTTCTAGTTAAAGAAACTCCGGAGGGAAGCATCCAAACAGGAACTACTGCAAAGCGCCGTCCTTTACCAAGATGGTCATCATGCCCCTTCACGCCAGGCTGCTTCCCCGCTACACCCAAGAATAAAAAGATGTTCTTACCATTACAGAGTGATGTAGCTACCAGTAAAGAAGGCTTAGAGAGAAGCCCACGTCTTTAGCTTGGAATGGCACACCTGGGGTCATGGCCTGTGTATTTTTCCATAAGGTTACTCCTTTTTGAGCTGGGGAGGAGGGGGATTTACATCTTAAGCTTCCCTTCCAGCCCTGTTAGATGATATCTTGTTCAGAGAAGAGGTTATATAGTGGATGTGTTTGAAGATGGGGACATTTCTGAACCTGCTGTTGCTTTGAAGAAGAGATAGTCTTTGTTTGCAGTGCCCAACAGCCATCTGCAGAGTGCTAACTTCTGCCCTGGTGCTAATTTGATACTCCTTGAGTGGGCAGTTGGACTGTGAAAATCTACCTTGTTCTCAGAGGGCAGATTCTCTGTCCAATGCATGTATATTACCAAATACCACAGGAAAGTAGATGTGTTTGTGTGCTATATGCCTTTAAATTAAATTGTACTGGCACAGACCCTTCTCTCATCATGTTTCTTCAGTATGGGCTGAATGTTTCTCTAGAAACATGGTATCAATTAGGTACATATGAAGGAGTGGTTCCAGTCACCACTCATCTTTGAAATTAATTGAGTTATCCCGGGCCCGGTTCTACCTTTAAGCCTGGCTTAGCTCACACAAGTGTTATGTAAAGAGAAAAATGACAATAAACACTTGGCAACCAGACATCAATCTTTGCCTTACTGGTACATGCATAGATTTGGTGATAAACATTTCTGGATTATGCCACCAGATTCTAGTTTGAATCCTTCCATCGGGAAAGGGCAAAATGCACATAGACAGAACCTTCTGGGACAGACCAAAGTTCTACTTTGGTCTTGTTTCTCATAAATATCAGTCGGATCCCTCTGGGAAGTCTGTAACCAGGACATGAAGGCAATAGCCGTCCCTTACGGTGGTTCCCCTGTGACGGGGGTTCGGTGACATGCTGTCTCTTATTCCACAGGTAGCATATAGCTGCCATGATCATTAGCCATTGATAGCCTGGTCTCCATGAGTTGGTATAATCCACTTCTCAAGTTGGTGGCTATTGCTACTTCTACAGCAATCAAATTCTATAATTTGATTTCTGTGCTGTGTGCAGAAATCTAGCCTGCTGTGCAGCCTTAATTTCTCACCACTTGGCTTCATTGGATCACCTTAGGTTCTCCTTTGATGGAGAAGCAGCTACTTTTTCATTTTTCCTATACAGTACATAATGTGCACCTCATAGAATATTCCCTTTAGGATTCAACTGAATTGTCCTCACAAATCTCTCTTTGGGGGAGTGGGGGGGGGCAGTAACAAGTGAATTATTTGACGAGCTTCCCATCCCAAATCTAGTACAATCCACAAATGACATGTGCCAGTTCATCTGCAGAGAAAAACTTGGTGCTTGAAGAAATGCTGCTGTTGACATCAAAATGCATCTTTTTTTTCAACCAATAAATGCACACATTTCTGATTATGGCAAAAAGAGTATAACAGCCTATTCTATTTCTTTTGCTTGACACCATGGTGCATTCCATACTGAAATGGCAGTGCCTTCAGCAAATTTGCTACAGCTTTGTGGTGCTCAGCACTCATGTTAAGTCATGTTTTTTGAGACAGCAGAAAACTTTCCTTCCAATGTTCCCATCAAGCTATATTTCTTCCATACTCCCACCCTCCAGTAATTGTCTAGCATGGTTGTAGAAATGATGATAGCCTTCCTTGAAGCAAAACAGTCACTGGGATCAGGGAAAGACGAGCGTAAAATGCCTCCAAGTGCCAGCAAAAAGTATTATTCTAAGGATGTAACTCAATTAATTAGGTTTCTAGTGGAAAGGAAGCAAAGCAAGCCTGCAGGTTGTAAAACCCTCAGATGCCTTTTTTTTTTGTTCTGTAAACCAGAGTGGTTAGCTCCAGTCCCACCCAGCTGAAGGAAGATAGCAATAACTTGGAGTAGTCTGTGGGTTTCAGAGGTCAGCAGGTAATGTCAAAACAGTGCTTCTGTTACCTCAGTAAAAATAACATCAGCATAATTCATAAGTCTTTGGGATTTTGTTTCTATTTTCTCTTTGAAATACAATTTTGATTTAGAAATCTTCGATCAAAATCCAGCTCTTTGCACTTCTTGTCAATTCAGAAGAAGGTTGCTAATTGGGTATGTTGTTGTGCTGTGCTGTGGTTGCCTCTGTGTTATAGTGACCCTATGAATGGATCCCACCCCAATATTCTGTCCCTAACAGCCCTGCTGAGTAAACTCGAGGCTGTGACTTCCTTTATGGAAGTGACCCATCTCACAATTGGACCTTAGACTGTCCATAGCAAGATTGTCTTCTTCAGTGACTGCAGCTGTCTCATGATGGGCCCAAAGTACAACAGCCGCCGTTTCATCATTTTGCTTCTAGGGCTTGCTTTGCTCTAGGCCCACTTACTCCTCTTTCTGTCAGGCCAGCATTCCTATGTTGGGCACATCTGTAACTAACTCCCACTGAGTTCCATATATATGTGTATAGGACTGCAACCCTAAACATGCTTCTGTGGGAACAAAGGGCATTGGTGCTTAGCCCCTTCCTCTGCTTGTACTGTTTCTTGGCAGAGTGGCCTCTCTCTTGACTAGCCAGGGCCACATGGTAGTCCTCACATGACTGGCCACATCCTCTGTAGTGCCCTCAGCAGTTTCTCAAATTCCCAGGGGTGCCCATGAGTCCAAATGCCCAAAGTAACAAGAAAACTGCACCATGCCGTGTCTCTGACGTCCTCTCACAAGAACTACAAGACGTGTTTCTGCTGTCATTTATTGCACTAATAAGAGACACTCCAGGGAACAGCAGCCAGCTGGCAGCTGGATGGGAGCTCAGTGTCATCATAAGTGGGGCTAGTTGGCAGGCAGTGTTGCCTGGAAGGCTCTCAGACTGCCAATGCAGAGGGTGAATGTCATGGTCTGCTCTCCAGAGTCCATGGGAGTGGAGGAAACAACGTTGCTCGATCTAAGAATGGGGACCATAAGGGCAGGCAGATTAAGATCATGTTCATGCACATGTTGAGTGGGATGCATCCAGCCTAGTTTCTCTCCACACCATCATGCCCCCACCATATGCAAATTTGGCCAGTGGGAAAGAGGTCCTTCTCCATATTGAAGCCTACTCATAACACATGTTCGTTCGTTCGTTCGTTCTTCCAATGCAACATGCCAGTTGAGTGCATGGATGACAGGCACATGCAGTGCTATGCAAGCGCTCATCATGGCAGTCCCCATGGCTACACTCCCAAGAGTCAAAATCTGTGTGTACCTTGATGGATCCATAAACAGTCCTAAAAGGTGGTATTTCCACCTGGAGCAGATGTTTAATATAGTCCGCTGGTCTTAGACTATATTAAACTGAGAAGACTGAGAAGAATACTTTACATATATCAGAGAGCAATATAATGTTGCTGGAAAAAGGAATTTCTCATCCCTCTAGCACTTGTGAGAATCGCAGCATTATTGAAAGTTACATTCTCTCTGCTATCTCCATGAGGATAAACTGCCAAGCAGTACACATGATTCCATTCTCTCTCTATCTTTTCCTCTCTGGTTGTATTTTCACGGTTCACAGTTTTTGTATAGATTTATGACAAGTCGGTCTTTTCTTTTTTTAGACCACATTGTACCAAGCAGATGAAAAAGTCTGCTGGTTCTTGACTATTTTTCCACAAAGTTTGCAAACTCAGGTTTTAATAAGTATATTACTGTTCTAGCGTGTTAACGTCTAGAAGTACCAGAGTTAATATGACCCTTTTCTGAGCTGTAATTTTGAGGCTGTGCTTGATACAAGTGTTGGCCAAATAAGTAGTTGCTTATCAGATATGTCTACTGAGGTGGGATCTTAAAATATATGGAATAGTCCCACAGGTGGTATTGAAAAGTGATGCACTATCTTGGAGCATGCAGAGATGTCACCACTCTGAGATAAGTTATAACATGCTTACTGCAAAAATGAACTTATAAAGCTGGTAGCCAAGGGATGTATTCATTATGAACTAAAATGAAGGGCATAATTCACTCACTTGTTCAGGGAGCGTGTGAGGATGGAGAGGGACCATGCCAGCGAGCTAGTGTCACTGAAGCCACCTGGTTCTGCCCCCTAATGTCACCCATTTTAACCATTGTAGGCAACAAGCTAAATATAAGCCAACAATGCAATGTAGTTGCAAAAAGAGCAAATGCTATTCTGGGATGCAGGAATACAAGTATCATTTCCAAAACACAAGAAATACTAATTCCCCTATAGTCTACACTAGTCAGAACTAATCTAGAATACTGTGTCCAGTTCTGGGCACCAAGAAGGAGAAAGATGGAGATAAATTGGAAAGGGTCCAGAGGAGGGCAACAAAGATGATCCAAGTTTTGGAAACACTGCCCTGTGAGGAGAGACTCAGAGAACTGGGCATGCTCAGCCTTGAGAAGACTGAGGGGTGATATAATAGCACCCTAGAACTCTTCTTACTCATCCCAAAGTGTCAGACACAAGTTGCAGTAAACCAGGTTCAGGCTAGATAACTGGAAAAGTTTCCTAACTGTCAGAGCAATATGAGTGATTGTGGGCTGTCATCTGAGTGGAATGATGTAAATTGGTGTCCAGCAACAGTAGCTGGATGGACCCAATGGCCTTCTTGGTCCCTTCCAACTCTACTATTCTATGATTCTCTGAACTAACCCTGCCTCTTACTTTCTCCATGTACAGTCTAAAGGAGGGAAGGAACTTTTGTGTATAAGGCTTTATGCAGAAAGGGTTTTAAGCAATCTAGAACCTCAGTTACACAGGCCTGTAGATCACCTTGGTGTAACAGTCCCCTACCCATCTCCTGCATTGACTGTACAGGAAAGTAGTTCCCCTGCAAAGGGCTTTAATAAAACCTAGAAGTGCTTGCCCAGGATGACACATCCTCAGAGGAAAGCACTCCTTTTTTATTAAGGGGTCAGGGAGCCTTCCCAATATGCAATGCTAAGGCAAGGAATTTCAGCTTTTCTGGGCTGGTGGGCACCTCTTGAAGTCTGAGAAAGCCTAATTGGTGTCACAGAATTTGTGTCACTAGGGTTGCCATTCACAAGTCTGCTGTAGTGTGTGAAGCAAGTCACAAATCATTTCAGAGAAAGGCAAACCAAAAGAGAAGACATTTGCCAAGAACTTCAGTACAAGGAAGGGATTGGATCTGAGCCCCAGGAAGCAAAAACACTCCACTCAAGAGACCACAGGCAAGCAAACCAGCTGATTTCCCCGTACTGCTTCTAAAGTTAATTCATTCCACCAAATTTATTTCCCCAAATGAAGATAAAGATGAGCCCCAAAGCATACACAAGGCCCATCCTCCCATTTTTCCTCTGGATCACCCATAAAATCGGAAGGGACTCTGCATCTTGGTGGGCTCCTTCAGATACTATGTTAGTGTGAGGTTCTGAGGCAGCACCAGGGCTTCCTCTTCTGACAGAGACCAGAACAGCAGCCCTGGTGGTTGCAGGATGGGGCCCACAGTCAATCGAAGCCACCTGAGATGTTATGAGCACCACCTAGGAGCCCTGAGGGAAGAGCTATATAAGAACTGGCTCTTCCCTTCAGATGTGGTCTCAGCAATAAAGATCTTTGTGCTGTTGGAGCTTCTGGAGCCAGCTTCTGCCTCCCCTTCTGACCCATGCCCAGCTTTCCCTGCTCTGCCTCC